TACAAAATCATAAAGATATTACAACCCAACATGTAGGCCGTTATGGGGGAGAACCATAGGTCACAAATGGGGTCTTAGCCCAAATATTAGCGACTGCCAATTCTAGGTATTTGGGCAAAAAGTATAACCTAATACTACTACATGGAATTTAGCATATTGCTTGCTTATAAGGCAATCATATCGGATAACCAAACGCTGAGTAGGACAATGGTATGTCCAAAACGATATGAAGTCTTCTTAGTGAGACCAAGCTCGATAGTAGTTTGGTAATAGGTAAAATAACTACGGAAACAACTACAACAATTTCGAAGTGAGAATTCTGAATGATGTATGATGAAAATTGTGAAATATTGGTACAATATCCCCGGTATTTCCAATCCTGTGTGGAAATAAAGTCCGAGCATCATGGGAACAATGTTATAGCGGATATAATATACTTAAATAACATTATATGGGAAATTTTAAAGAAATTTTTCCAGGACTCTGAGTTTCTGAGCCATTGGATGATAACACGATCTTAATTGGGGAAACTTTACTATATGTTCGATTTCGACAAAAATTTTGGCCGAATCTTCGGCCAGACACTACTAACAGCATAATTCAAATTTTTAAAACAATGGCAATCCTAAGCCCCAGGTAAATCGCTATTTTAATCAAGACAAACCAATATTTAACTCACAGCAAACAAAATAACAAAAAATATTAAATAAACAACAAATACAAGAGGACACACATGCAAACACCATAAAAAACAACAACATTAACAGAGCCACCAGCAACATCACTATCAACCAGAAAACAACAACAAAAACAATAGTAAATAGTAAAAATAAACCCTGTTGCATATGCACCTTTACAAAACCGGTCACGTCAATCCCAACTATAAGAGACCTCAAGTAAAGTTCAAAGTGCAACAGTACTCAACTGAACATTCAAACGTACGCACGTACGCACAAACTTATACCTTTCAAAAAAGATTAAAATAAAAAACCTTAAAATGCATTTCAAAAGAATAATTGAAATAATTTTCAATACATTTTTAATGATGCAACTTGTACTTGCCACACCATATTCCTGGGGCACACATCACAGCAACTACGATGCTAGTTTAGATCCAATTGCATGGTCTCGAAGCTTTGTTAAGGATACTATTAGGAAACCTCGTCTTTATAGAACAAACTCCTTCGAACATAACTCTATAGATGTAGCAGATGATGATTTTCCCATACAAAATTATGGTGGATTTGGTAAACGACGTTCATCTCGGGGTAATTTTGCCAATGATATTTACAATAACTGGTATTCGAATCCAACAGGATTTGTTCATAATGGAAAATATAACAACAATATGCAGAAGCGCATGAACCGTAGAAGGCAGAAATTGAATGCCCGTCACCGTTATGGTTTGGTTTAAAGAGATTGTTTTGTGGATAAGATTGAACAGCTGTGGAAATAGTATATAAGAAAAAATGTGAAGTGATAAATATTTAAGTAGAATTAAATAAGAATTATGTGACTTTTAGTAATTTACTTAAATTTAAGATTTATTTTAGAAAAATACAAGTATTAATAAAATAGTGTTTAATTAAAAATTTGACTTGAAATTTTTTTAATAAAAGTTTTCTTTTAGTTTCAATCATAATATCTATTTTGTGGCATACAATTTTCATTTAGAATATTTTCTAAAGTGTTTTTTTAGAGTTTCCTTACGATGGGAAAAGGAGTACCCGTCAAAATTGCCAATCTATAAAGTGCACAGTACACCGCGTTCCAGTGTAGAATTCTCCATAATGGCACATTCTCGAGGGCAGGTCTTCGGCAGAGATTTCTACTTTCCCTTCTTATATTTATGGTGGACAAGTTACTCCGCTTAAGTATCGTTGTGAAACCAAATATAGTTGTCTGATCTAAGGTATTGCATTGATTTTCTCCAATCAGAATCGTATGCTAAGTAAAATAAACAGCTTAAGGTCAATTGCTGAAAAGTATCAATTGGGGATTAACGTGGGTAAGACTAAATCCGTGGAAGTAAACGTCCCGCACCCTAGTAATCTGCTCCTTGGCCACAAGTTAATTGTATAAGTAAGTCAAAAAAAATTGGCAGCCAAATAACACCAGACGAAGACATTAAAGACAATATCGATGCCACGCTCTCCAAGGCAAAATTAGCATTTACAAAGCTACGGAGGAGGGATACTTTCCACTATGTTCTTAAGGGTGCCAACACATTGGTGAGATGCCAACCTCATCAACATCATCAACACGCCCATGCTGAACTCGCAGCTCACGCTCTCTATTGGTTGTTGCCATTTGAAACTTATTGTTGACCAGGTCTTCTACTCTGTTGGTCTATTGGAATTTTGCCTGTCGGATAACCGGCATCGTAAACTGCATAGCAGATATCGTCCCGGTGTCTTCTTTTGGCAACTTTGGCGTAAGATGGCGGCTCTTTTCCTTTTCCATTGTCTAGCCTCTACTTCATCGCTTTTCGGAGATTCTTTTGAAATACCCGTACCTTCGAGATTGATTTCGCTGACGTGGTCGTCTTCGGAATATCTATCTTGGCGTTGTCACCCTTCTGGCTTGAGGTTCCTTTGAGTGTAGTATGGCTTGGCTTCGACTGTGTAGTAGAAATGGGGAGCTCTTTTTCCCATTAGGTTAATTCTCAGTTGTCAACTCCTTGGGAGACCTGATCCTCTTTGCCTCAGATCTTGTGAGAGAGTCCAATTTTTCCTTTGGAGTGTCGTTGGATTGACTAACTTTAATCTTTTTCAACTTCCTCCTTTGTGCGTCAGATAGTCTTTTTTTAGTAATAGGTAGTTTAGCTATGCTATCAGTCACCTCTTTCACAATATGCTCTACTTCATCGTTTTTGGGATTTGCTATAATGGTGTTGTTATTATCATCAACTGAGGATTCAGAGTCGTGAGGACTATATTTAAAGGCTGAGGTAGTTTAGAGCTCTCTCCGAGTACATCCTTCTCTTTCACCCCTATATTTTTGCCATTAGCATGATGTACACTTGACACATTATCCGCCATGGAGGCCAAGGTACCCACCTCCGTAGTAGCATTTTGCTCACGATTGCAGAATGACGACCACATGTGACTCACGAGTAGATAAACTTGCCACCGGTACTGGGTTATTTAGGCCCTGCACCATAAATTTCATCTTTTTATACCCACCATCAAAAAGATGGGGGGTATATTGATTTTGTCATTCCGTTTGTAACACATCGAAATATTGGTCATAGACCCACAAAAGTATATATATATATATATATATATATATATATATATATTCTGGGTCCTTATTAAATTCTAAGGCGATCTGGCCATGTCTGTCCGTCTGTCCGTCCGTCCGTCTGTTGAAAGCACGATATAGTCCGAACGGAACGAGATAAAGGATTGAAATTTTCCACAAATATTTTCTATAGGTAAGGTTTGTTTGATATTGAAAATGGGCAACATCGGTCCACGTTTTCGTATAGCCCCTAACTCAAGTGGACCCCCGATAAACAGCTTTAATGGGCATATCTGTTTCAAAAGTACGAATATAGCGATGAAATTCGACACAAATAAGTTTCATTTGATCCAAAATTTCCCTTCAAAATTTTATGAGGATTGGTTCATAATTTACCCTACCCTCCATATAAGACTCCTTCAGAAATTTGGTTTAACACTCATTACTGGCTTAAAAATACTAGTATAACAATGAAATTTGACATAAGTAAGTCTCTTATGATCAAAAGCTTGTTTACCTAATTTTATGTTGATCGGTCCATAATTGACCCTACCACCCATATAAGGTCCCTTTCAGAATATGACTTTAACGCTCATTACTGGCTTAAAAATACGTGTATAGTGATGAAATTCGACACACATAAGTTTCAATGATGCAAAAATCTCTCAATCACACTTTATGTGGATCGGTCCATAATTGACCCCATATAAGGTGCCCTTCAAAAAATTACTTAAACGATAACTACTGGCTTAAAAATACAGAATACAGAAAAGCAATTAAATTCGACACACATACATATAGGTTAGTGGTTAGTGTTCTAGTCTGGTAGACCGGAGGTGGTGGGTTCGATTCCCACCTGAGGCACTGGTTAAGGAGCGCACAACAGGCCCGACAGAGGCCTAGGTGTATTTCTTCGGATTTGATGTATATACATCCTCCTTTCAAACTAACTAACTACATATTTTTTATACGAGTTAAAACCTCTCTACCTAATGTATTGAGGATCGGTCCATAAGAAAATTACTTTAACGATTTTTTCTGACTTAAAAATACGTGAACGTTTATAGGAACGTAAATCTTCCTACCGAATTTCATGCGGAAAGTGTCGGGAAGTGATATTCGATGTAAAGATGTTTTGTATGAACCAAAATTGGTCTAAAATAATTTTATGAAAAACGGTAAATTATTAACCCTATCTCTAATATAAGGCCCTCTTCAGTTAATTTGATGAGTAATATCCTTTTAAGGCATACGGTTTGATGGTGGGTATATGTTATATTCGGCACAGCCGAATATAACACTCTCACTTGTTATTTTTCAGTTTTTTGGTCCGCGGGGAATATAATATTCCCAGGTGGTGGCCAATAAATTAAAGAAAGGGCAGTGACGACCTTGCACCACGTCATCCTTCTCCTATTGCTAGACCGTAGTCTAACATATCGTTCATCGCTACACCATCACACATCCGTCAAATCCATCCATCACTTCCGTAGTAAAAAGACAGATAATAGCTAAGTGATAAGTCAGAGTTCTACCACCCACTTTTGGACAGTTGATATGTTCTCTTTTCCTTATAAAGATCACGATATTTCGATTATAAACTAAAATGGATAGATCAATTCTGAAAAATATATACATAAATATCTATTGTCTGGTGACCCATAAATAATATACATAGTCATGCTGCTGTAGAGATTATATAGAGTTGGGGAGAGTAAATAGAGTTGTTGCAATAACTATATTAGGACTCGAAGAACCACCCAGCAAAAATTTTCATTACCTAGTAATCTAGAAAGTAATATTGGAATCACGTGGAAACTAATTACTTTTGGGGTGAATAACTAATTATTTTTGTTCGACGAGGTTCAAATAATATGTACCTACCTTAAACAAATTAATAAATGGTTACTAATTTGATTACAAAAACTTTCCAAAATAACTAGTTACAAATAAACCTACAAATATGTTATGTGATAGCTAGTTATTTTGGGCCGACTTTGTATGTAGAAAACAAAAAATAAAAAAATTCTCGGCCGGGATTTGAACCCAGGCATTCAGTTGTTTTCTGTGTTTCTCACTCCAGCCGCTTACTCGATGCTCCATTAACATGTTGCTTTTTGTAATTTTGAGAACGGCATTTTACAAAAATATATAAATGAATGTCATTTTGAAAAAAAATAAACAGTATCCAGCAGGGGTCGAACCACGAACCCCCTGTTTGTTAAATAAACGACCTAGACAATTGAGCCATAACAAATCCAAATTGTTTTGTTCTTTACCAGTAATAACCTATTCAGCTAAATAAAATAATGTGGATGATAATGAACACTCATTACCAAGTAATGTATGAAGTAACTACTGGCTATTACCAAAAATTTCAGATTTTTTGCTGGGCACTGAGCCAATGTGTAAGTTCTTAGTATTGGAGAATGCGCTTTAAGGACCAAATTAAGCTTAACTGAACTGGTCATTAAAGAATCAATTAAACTAAAATGAAATGGATCAGCTAATTGCTCTCGTAAATTAACAAACTTGTGTGGTTCTCCTTATCTTAACCTAGAGTAGTTATACACTACCCACTTTAGTGGAGATGGTATATTGGGTTTGTGCTGATGTTTGTAACGCACAATAATATTGGTCCTATACCCACCTTAAAGTATACTAATCGGCTCAGAATCATTTTCTGAGTCGATTTAGCTATGTCCGTCCGTCTGTCCGTCCGTCCATGTAAACCTTGTAATCAAACTACAGGTCGCAATTTTGAAGATAATTCAATGAACTTTGGTCCATGATCTTCTATTGTCCCAGGGACGAAGTCTATTGAAAATGGTTAAGATCGGTCCATTATTTCACCTAGCCCCCATATAACTGAACCCCCAATAGGGCTTGTAATCCTTGTAATCAAACTACAGGTCGCAATTTTGGAGATAATTCAATGAAATGGCACATGATCTTTTATGGTACCGTATATGAAGCCTGTTGAAAATGGTTTACATCGGTCTATTATTTCACCTAGTCACCATACAACTGAACCCGCCGAATAGGGCTTTTAAGTTCATAATTATGTTTAATATACTCATATCTCGACAAAAAGCTGCAAAAACCAAGTTGTATACCAGACTTGATGACCCTCACGAATTCCATAATAATAGGTTCTCATATGACCCTAGCCCCTATGAAAATCTCCCATCAAAATTT